AGGGTTTCTGCTTTGAATTGTTCTAGATTTACTGTGTTCTAGAGCATGTCTGTTGCAGAGTCACGACAGCAGCAGGAACATAATGTCGCATTTAGGCTACCGTAGTTAACGGGACATAAAAAGGCATTATGAAATGAAAAATAGCACTTTGAAATAATAATGTCCATAATCACAATAAAAATAACCCCTAAAAACTCTATTAAGCAAGAATGATGAAATACCTTTTCAAAATAATGACTTAAGGTTTAATATTTCCTGAATGATTTCACAAATTGTCTGTGCAAATATATATTTTACATAAATTATTCATGATTATTAATTTCAATGCTGTTTTTATTTATTATTGAACACTCTGGGTTTCCATAAAAGGCTTTAAATCTGAACTGTTCTCAGCTGTAAGCCAAGAGCAAGTGTTTAGGTACTTCCATACTGATACAAACCCTCGCTTTGAACTACCCATAATGGCTATAAGTAGTTACTGTATAGATATACTGTAGTCCCTAGGGGGCTGCAATATGTTATGCTTGGGGAAAAAAAAGAAGCATAACTCAGTCTTGGCACTGTTGATCTTTTAGAGATGCGCAGCAACAACAAATAAAACAGACACTGGATTAGAACTGTTTACATCAGGAAAGGCTGAAGGTGGAGGAAAGCTGAAGTGTTGGTAAGCGCTGACAGTTGTTGCAGTCCTACAGACAAGCACCCAGAGCTTGAACCCCAACCTGCCTTACCAAATACAGTGGTGTTAACCACCGAGCTATCCAGCTGCTAGATAGGTACACATTTAGAACCTTTTCTGGTTTCAGTTTCTCACATCAGTGACATACAAGGCTGAGATTGCACAGGGCTCTAAATCACACTCAACAATTTATCGTGTAGCCCTAATAAATATCGATTTCAGTAGATATCTTACATTGGTTACCAGGGCCATACAGTTTCTGTATTAATCTGTATTCACCCTTTCAGTTCAGAGTAGAACAGTCAGGTATCACCCTGGTTGTGATTTGGGTCACATTCATATGTTGACTCATTTGCTAATAATACAGAAAGTCTTTTTCCTGAGTGGTTACCTTGGTTTAAATGGGCTCTCACACCTCTCCAGAATGCTCTTTTGTCATACAGGGTCATGCTGTCTCGTTCAAAAAGGGCTACTAGCATAGCAGTCACCAGTAGCCATTGTGGGGCTCTTGGCCTGGAAGTGCTTGCCCACTGTGTCGCATTTTATTGCTGTAAATGTCTTTTGACAAGAGGTCGCTCAGTGTGATGTTTGTCTCCTGCTCTGCAGTTCATCATCCTGGTGGTGGACAGCACAGACAGAGAGGCTGGCCATCTTGAAAGAAGAGCTCTACAGGATGTTGTCCTATGAGGTACAACTCTCGTCTCGACAACTCAGTAGGGAAACACTGCACGGAACTGACTTTGTTTTTGTAACGAACATTGATTTTCCACCAACACTACCGTTTGAGGTCAACAGGTTATGGATCCTAGTGTTTCCCCTAGGTTAACAGCTTTGGGGGGGGAGAGAATTTTGGAAATTTTTAATGACAATCTCTGATGTGAAAATTAGTATGCAGTTTCACATATAGTACTTTAAGTCACCTACTTTTCAGTTCTCTTGACAAAGATTCCCTCAAATTATAAGAACCTACATCAACTGCCCAAACTCATCCTTGGCCCTTTCATTTTCTCATCCTTTGAATGCAATGGTCACATTATGCTGTTATCTGAGCACCAACCATTTAAGAACAGACCGCACACTTACAATACTGTTGATCATTGCACAATTCTGCAGATGTGCTCTGCAAGAACAGGATAACAATAGTGTGGATGCTGAATTAACATCCACACTATTAAGGAAATCTTGAAGCTGCACTAGATGGTACATCTCATTTTACAGGATTGCCTGACAGAAGTTTAGCTAAAAACAGATGATGTTAATGCTTGTGTGAATGTTGATGCTTAAAGAGCACCTGTTTTCCTGATTGCTGATCCCACTGCGCACCCCTTCTGATGTTTGACTTATTTATTTTAGGAGCGTTAGCACGCAGAGATGATACCTTTGTTCTGCCCTGTTTTACCTGTGTTCTGTTTGACCCATTCTTGAAGTATTTTATTTTGCACAGATAATACCTACATTCTATGAGGGGAGGGGAAAATGTTCAAGTTTACTGACATTTTTTTGTGTGATTTACTAGCTCATGGTCATTTTAGAGCGGGTGGTGTTGATGCCGGTGGAGAAGAGAGAAAACCAAACACCCTGCCTCTTTTCTACAGAGTGCATTAATATTAAATTTGACTCACTTGCATCCTCTTTGTTGCCCTTTGCATTTGTTAGCACATTTCTCATTCTTGTGATGTTTGGATCAACTTAAGAATTAACTAGTTTGCTCTTTCCAACTTGCCATATTTGCAGTTACTGTTTAAATCACCCTAGGTGATTGTGTAGAGGTGTGATTTTAAATTTTGATTTTCCTGTTCCACTTAATTTAATTACAAGCTTTAAGATTATTCTTACACCTTAGAGCTTGTTTTGTTGGTGTTGAATGTTTAGTTTGAATGTGGCTTATTTTCACGAGTTACTGCTGCATTTCATTTTATGTTATCTGTTGCCTCTTTGGCGCCCCCCAGTGACAAAGGATAAAACTGAGGAAGATACACAGACCATATACAGTAAGATTACAGAAAAGTGTCATCAGAAAATGAACTTACTGCGCTGACAACAGAACACAAAGTATTGATCAAATCAGCAGTTGGTAGAGAAGGCTCTTTCTCAGAATCTTATCTTTTTATTTGAACTGCACTGAATGCTAAATGTTCACCTTGTACAAGAAACAAATACAAATACTCACACTAAAAACAAAAACGTACTGCTGGCTGCCTCTTTTGCTATGGTTGGGACACTAAGTAGGAGTTTCTGCTATTGCTCTTACAAAGTACAAGAACATGGCCTTCAACAGAACAAAGAAAATATAAGAAGGAGAGAAGAGAGAGGGCAGATCACATAGGACTATGGTTATAGGAACATTTAACTAGGCAATACAAATCTAACAGGACTCTTCAAAACTCTTTAACACCAAAAATGTGGGATGTGCCTTGTATATAAAAATACCACAATGGAGAGAAGATGAGGGAGGAGAGAAAATATTGAGACTAACCAGATTAGTTGTCTTTTTTTTTTTTTTTTTACTCAAAGACAAAATTCTAGGCATAAATATCTGCAAAAAGTGTTTTCCTGAGTCAATAAGAAATTAAGGTTGCTTTAACCCTTTCCTGTCTTCATAGAATGAAATGTGCTCAAAGAAGGGAGGAAGTCGATCTGTGCGCTGCTGTTAAAATAGGCTTGGTAGTCTGTTGGCTGTCATCAGTGATGTCCGTTTGGCAGCACAGAGGAGTCAGATGCAGAAACACTAACTTTATGATTATGAAAGTAATAATGTTACTTTCCCCAGCTTCCTTTGACTTCATATAACCTAAAAACATCAGCTGTAGTCAAATAAATCTTTTTGTTAGAAAAAAAAAACCCACACAATGCATTTGAGCAACTTAAGATCTTAATGGTACCCTTGAGTAGTGAAAACATGTGCCATATATATATATTATTGCCAGGAAAGGGTTAAAAACCCATTCAAGACTACTATAACTGAACGTTTTTGACGAATGATAAATATCTGTCAATAATTCATTTTTAGTCATTTACAATGAATCGAAAGAAAAAAATAATTCTCTGTTGAGGTTTAATGAGGGGCCTAAACAACACACATTAGTTACATAAGGAAAGTTGGAGGTGGGTGGGGGGGAGATGGAGAGGATCAGGAGGGGGCTGGGGGGTGGGAATAAGATCCAGTAGCACATGACGCCAATGTTTTTTTTTCCTCTCTCGTTCTCCCATTGGTGTGTTGAGATGTCGGCCTACATTTCCCATGAGCTCTGTGGTGTAGATGGGAGGCAGGATAGAGTCTCACTGGGTTATCCTGGAGTGCTAAAAACACTGGACTCTGTGTCCACAATCATAGGCATGTCCCGAAGAAAAACAATCAAACAAACACAAAAAAACAAAAACAAAAAAAACAAAAACAAATCAAAGAGTAAAGTTGGTACTGAAACCAAAGAGAGAGAGAGTAAAAACTAAAATGTTAAGAGTACAAATTCCCCGGAACACTTCTTTTGTTCCCAGTTGCTGACTGATTTAATAGGCAGTCGCTTGTGTTGTTTCACCGTCTCTTGGTCCTAGTTGGTCGGTTGCTGTGACTGGTTGGTTCTGTGTCTGCAAGTTGGATGAGAGGTTGCCGTTTGCATCCCTTCTGCTGCTATTGCTCGGTGAGGTGCTCTCTGGTCTCGCCGTGTTTGGAGGGCTGGTTGGGTGACGGGGCCTGGGAGGGGTGTGTACCAGAGGGCAGGGTGTGAGCGATGGGCACCCCACCTGGTACCATGCCCTCTAATGCCCCCGGGATGCCGCCCGGAGCCACTCCAACCACACCTGGTGGGTATCTGGTGAAAGGGAAAATCAGAAGTTAGTAACTCTCAGAGAGGGTTTAATGTACTCATAGCTTTACTAGCTCATATTCCCAACACCGTGAAAAGCAGGATTCTCTGAACAATCCTGACAACTAGTGATAGTAGTGGCTCTTTTCCATCCCAGGAACATTTTCAGGACACTAAAAAAATCTTAAGCTGCATTTTAGCCTGTTTTAAAATTTCCTGCTTTACTCTGGGGTCAAGTTGTACTAAATGATGCTGCTAGGACTTGAGGTGGAAATGTTTGTAATTCAGTGGTGTAGTTTTGCATATGGACATAGGGACATGTCCCTCTGAGCAAACCCATCTGCATTATCTTGGAGTGAAGGCAGATCATTATGATGGGCTTGACCCACTGAAAGGGAGAGGGTTAGGGAAGTAGTACCCCGCCAGAGTGTTTGAGGGTGCTCTAACCACACTGAGCACTACTCAGTTTGCAACTCAGCATTTGAAAGTGCGCAGACACAGGTTTTTAAGTGCAAATACAGACTGAGAGCGTAATCCAGACAACGCATGCTCCCATTTCTGATTCAGCATACTCAGATTTCTCCACTGGGATTTGTGTCAAAGTCTGTCTGATTTGCAACTTGTTTTGGGCACTTCCAAAACTTGTTCTGCAGAAACATTTTAATACAGACCCTAATGGAGAAATCTGATAGCGCAGAATCAGAAACGAAAGCTTCCGGATCAATAACTCTGCAAGTTCTAAACTGTCCCAATTCCTGCACCATTAGTCTACTGTCACTGTTTTCTTATAAGATAATAAATTGTAAATATGAGATAAAGTCTAACAATTTATCAGCACCTTTGTCCCAGAAATGTAAATTTATCACAAGCAAAGACTTTTCAAAATCCTTTATCGGTATATGGTATGTTTACAGTTTGCGATGTGAGACAAATGCAAAAAAGGGACCTCCTGATCGAGTTCCTGGGACTATTTGGTGAAAAAGAGCCACTCTGTTAGAACATTTTGGCAAAAAATGAGAGGAAAAGTCACAATAACACCATTCAACCAAAGAAGGAAAGAATTCAACCTTTCTTCCAACAGAACTTGCCCAAAAACCCCTAAGAAGGAAACTGTGAAGCATGACTCCATCCATGAAACTGTGTCTGAACGGCTTTATGTCATGCTTACTGGGACACTTCAAACCCACATTTGCTACCATTCATTTGTACAGGTGAGTGCTGGGGGGGATTATAAAGGGGACACACATCAGGTGAGAGGGTCTTATCCGGGACCTGCAGACAGAGGCTGTTGGTCCGGATGATTGTATTTACCTGCTCCTGATCTACGCATTAATTTTGTCTTGGGGGAAGCCGGTTGTTATAGCTGCAAGACTTTGGTTCACTTGGCTGCATGAAAGAAGCACATGGAGGTGGACATGCTGAGATCATGAAGGGCCCAGATTGGGACATGGTCGACAGAGTTACCTTTCTTCTACTACTACAGCAGACAGTTAAGTGAGGGGATGAGCACTAGGATCTGTAGCAGAGTAGTGACTTAACTAATTCATTTACTATGCCCATTTATAAAACAAATCAGTGTACAGGAAGAGATCAGGGGAAAAGGGAAGTAACATGGCATTTTAAGAGTTTGTTGTTAACATAGCAAGGAGAACAAATAATAGCTGTAGTAATGAAAAGTACTCCTTCAAATAATCTACCAAACAGTTCTCTCATTTGGTCCAGTTTATGACTTGTTGCCCTTTGTCTGAAACACTTTAAAATAAAGAACCTACAGAATGCATGGATAAACTCCTGACATTACAGAAAATCTTAAAAAAGATTTCAGGACAGGTCTAAATGGAATACTTCTGAGATCAGATCTGTATGCTGAGTTCCTACCTGTAGGCGGCGCCATTGAGCTCAGGGTGAACACCTGGTTGATCCATAACTGCCCATGGTGCCGTAGTGACAAAGAACTCCTTGTTGACACAGTTTCTTAAGCTGTCAGGGATACGGCCTGTCATCGGAGCCAAACGCACACGGTGTTAAAAGCAGCACACCACACCGGCACAAATCACACCTTCTAAAAGGCTGCGACTTGTTACAGGGGATGAGCAACCAGATGGTGCCAAGGTGTCACTGATTTCAGACTGACAAACGTATATCAGACTTGGGTGCATAAATTAAGATCATTTAACAATCCTGATGTTTTCTGGGAGGCTAGCCCTCGAGCTGTGCTCTGCATCGGGAGGCTAATGATGACATTTATTAAGAGGCCCAGATTTAATAAAGGTCGCCCAGTGCCTATTGAAGTGGAAAGATGACGTGAGGGAAAGACAGATGTGCAGCAGATCACATAGTAGACTGAAGCTAAAAAGGATTTAATGTTGTGTTCATCAGATGCTGAGGAGCAAAATGTAAACATGTCTGTGTGGCTGTGTACCGGTGATGGCTCTTCGGATCTCGGTGGCGGCTGCCTCCCTCATCTCCAGAGAGGCCTGCTCGCTGTACCAGGCTGTGTGTGGTGTGCAGATCAGGTTTGGAGCGTCTTTCAGTGGGCCCTGTGCAAAACTACACCACACACACAGCAGAGAATGAAGATGATGTTAGGCAAGTCAGATCTGAGATGGTCAACAGTGACACTGGATTTTCTGAAAAGCATTAATCTGTCCACAAGTTGTGTCACACCAGCTGTCACGCTGCCATGGGCGCTTCTGTTTCCCCCTTTTGTGTTAAACTCTCTAATATGGCAGATGTTATTTAAACACTTGATTCACAGGTATCAACCCATTTGATGTAAGTAATTGCCATTCATATTTTATGAAACATGTTTGTGTATAATTAGGATGACTATTGTCTGAAAACAGCCAGAGGGGGAACATGTCAGATCCTGTTATTCACAGATGCCACCATTTTCTTCCTCTTCCTGTCCGTCTCTTTCCTGTCACGTGGCTTTATAAACAAGTCACATCCACCTCCCTCTCCTCCTCTTCCTCCATCCTTGTAACACCTTGCCTGGTTGTGTGTCTCTGTGTAACACCTCAGCATTGCCCTGAATGAGTATTGTGTTGCGTGGGATGGAGGGCAGAAATTATGACACACTCCCCAGCCAGTCAGAAATGAGCAGCATCCAAAACGGCTCTGATGCGTGAACAACACACCACCACCAGGGACCCTCTGAGGCAGGGGTGTCAAACTCAGTCGCACCGGGGGTCAAAACTCAAAGCACACTTTAGTTCGCGGGCCGAACAGGATAAAAATTTATTGAACAGACTAAAACTAAACGTTTTTGGAGCATAAATATGAATCAAAACAGACAGGATACAATATTATTCCAAAATAACCTAGTCTTAAAATAACTTAAAATATTTTTTTGCTTTCCAAAAACAAAACAAACAAAAATCTCATCATAATTACACAAATTCAAAATATGAACATGCTGCAAAAAAACCTGGAAATATAAATACAAATAGTGCTTTTAAGTAAAAGTTAAAATAATAAATCAAAACATTTTCTTTGCTCTTATGCCATTTTGTCAGAGCTGGATGCTTGGCATCTTTTCTTGGCAACAAGTTCGTTTATGTTTGGGGTGAGGTTCTGTGTTGTGCACGTGTTCATCAGCGAGACAACTCCTGTGTGATGTTCAACAGATGCTGATCTGACGTAATTGACGTGGGAATGATCGCAGGTAGCCTATTGTTCGGTAAGGCAGCTGTTGCGCTGCATTATGGGATTTGTAGTTTGTGTGTTATCGGTGCTTCATATCGCCAGCCCATTAAAAAGAAATATATGAAATGATCTCGCGGGTCGGATATAGTTGCACGCTGGGCCGGATGTGCGCCGCGGGCCTTAAGTTTGATATGCTGAGGGAACATGGTGGAAAACTGGGAAGCATGTCAAGGTGTGCACAGGAGTGGAAACAGAAATGGAGAAAGCAGAAATACAGGGAAGCAACAAAAGTATAAGGGGGATAAGGTGATGGTTTGGAGAGTTACAAGTTAAATCTGAAATGATGCATACCGGGGTGATATTATTATGAATTGTTCCATGATGAAATTACTACTTAATTTAAAATTAATGCAAAAACTTTAGATACATTGATTACATGTACCACAAATTATTTATAACTATTTATTAAATATTGCCAAAGATAAACATCTAAATTCTTACAGAAGAACCTCCAGTCTGACTCTTTAGCTTGTTATGGAATTACATTTATAATAATTGTTTGTCAAGATGAGATGATCCACAAAAAACTCTTGTAAAAGTTAAACTATGGAGGAATTGAAAGTGTTTTTTTTTCGTTGTTAGTTTGGTCTCTCCGACATTGACAGATTCTCCTCAGTTTAGTGCACATTCTGGAGAAAATCACTGTTCTGATGCTAGTACTGCTGATTTTTAAACAAGTTTGTAGTCAGCGGTTCTAATTCATTACACATTTTGTCATTTTCAGCTAAGTGTTCCTCACGTTTCGCTGTCTGGTGTTTCAGTTTAAATGCTCCACAAACCCCAGGTGGCTGTGTACTGTGCTTACCTTGTAACATCCCAAAAAAGGATCGGAATCGGGCTGACACATGGCATTGTGTGTGTGTGTGTGTGTGTGTGTGTGTGTGTGTGTGTGTGTTTTGGGCCTGCAACTGAAAGGTAGAGATGGCTGAAAAAAGACCAGCTCCACTGCTTTGACTTACAGCCTACACATCTAAATTGAGGAGGAAAAAAACAGAGGCACTAAAATTTAAAAAAGGACTATAATCAGGCAAGGTTGGAGACAACATGGCTACATGCCACTTTCCAAAGATGGATTTTAGAGGGATGAGGAGGAATGCAGAGGTTGCTCTTTTTCTGCTAGACAGGTGGGTAAATTGTTTACTATGAGCCACTGAAAATTGTTAAGGTCTATATAGTGTTGTTCCATTAGACAGGCTAATCTTTGTGGTAATGTTACATTAGCTTTTTGCTAAATCAACTTTTCCTGGGACATTTAGATAAATTTCTAGTTTGCAAGTGCCCCAGCTGCTAGTATTCCAATACCCGGTGTTGGCTTTTCCCTCAGTCATTAGTATCGTACTCTAATGCGCATTCATGATTTTTGGGGGACGTGGTTACCAGATCCAAACTGACATAAGTTGTGGTTGTGTGTACATGATGATCAAAATGTAAACATTCTTTTGTTAGAATCACTGAATAGACCTTTAATTGTTTCCTACAAACATGATGAAAAGTTGAGTCTTTGGGCTTGGACACCTAGAGAAGAAGAGGATACAGTCACAACCAGCAGCTGCTACTGTATTTCAGTTCCTCTGAGGGGGATTACAGAGATGTCTCCACCTCCTGAATTCCATTACCTGCAGGGCCTGAAGGAGCCTTTTAGAAGAGCATGAGGTGTTTTTAACTCATCCTATGTCTGCCATTGTTTCTGCCTATTTGTCTCTTCGGCTGTTTAAGGTTCTCTGTCTGTGCCTGTAATTTGTTGCTTTCTTTCCCTTCCTGCACATCCATCTATTTCTTTGTCTGTATCTGCTGCTCTAAGTGAAGCGTTCATCCATCTGACTTTGGGAGAGATTTTGTGTCTCACTTACCTGAAGGGCTCTGTCTCATGGACGTCCAAAGCTGCTCCACGTATCCTGCCCTCCTTCAATGCCTGGGCCAAGGCTTTCTCATCCACCAGACCTCCTCTCGCAGTGTTGACCAGGAAGGCACCCTGACGCATCTGTGGCACAACAAGACATAAATACAAATGCATCGACAAAAATGTATGTACCTGTCAGCATGGCATTCAAGTCAATCTGACTTATCTACAGAGCAACATCGGTCAGGACTGGATGTCTGCATATGAGGGTCTTAAATCAAACTGTATATCACACACACAAAAAAACACCTGAAATGGCTGACACCTGAAAGATCTAAGAGACAGGCAGCACCTGGGAAAAATACTGTCAGATGTGGGACAGAGAGCAGCCTTTATCCAAAACCATGACATGAAATGAAGGACGAGGCATGAGTTAAAAGATGTGGCAATGCCACCATCCCTTGCTACTTGTGGGAAAGAAAAGGCACAACAGAAAATTTTAAGAGAGGCAGGGGAAAAAATCCAATGAATATGCTCAGAAGAAAGTAATCTCCTAATCTCGACAAAAGATGAAATCCAGGGGCATGAAAAGCCTTTACGCTGGCAGGCAGTCTTTTATTAGGCCTTGGTGGTTTTGACACACAAACATTTCCACTTTAGAAACTGAGAGCGACTGCCAAGATTCTTGGTGAGGAAAGAGGAAAAAGAGATGCAGTACTTAAAAGGCAGCTGAGAATCTTAAGCTTTGGAAAAGACACAGAGTACTAGGTTAAGCTATTACTCTACACCCAGTTCTGTTTGTCTCATCACGTACTGTTACTCACAATTGTCAGATAAAGGCAAACGAGAGGCAAGACAGAAAATGGTGAGGGCCAACAGGAGGAGATAGTCCTCAGCCTGTGCAGTTCCTCGGCTTCCCTGCAGGTGCCGCTGCAGACAGCGCCTCAGAGTGTAGTTATTGACTCAGAGAACAGCACTTTCCCCTGGCAATGCTCTGAGCCCCCTGCTGTGCAGCCTAGTCGATATATTTGCTGTAGCCGTGGGCTGGTGCTAATTGCATTTGACAGAGCAAAGGAATGAATTTGTGTCCAGCTTTGGTGAAGCTTAAGATAAAGAGCAGGGAATGTGCAGGCAGGATGGCTGCTGTCAACGCCTCTTTTTTCCTCTCTCTCTCTTTCCACCTGCTCTAATGCTCTTTACGGCAGCCTCCAGGCTGACAGAGTAATAATACAGCAGGAGCTCTGCTTGTCTACCTGCTAGATAGCATAGCATTAAGCCCAGGTCAGGTCACAGCTCTTCAGTGGGATGCCTGGCTCTTGTCTGGATGAAACGTCTGTACTGTACAGGTATGCGTGCATTTTACTAACGCACCTGTTTGATGGTGAAGTCGTTGATGAGGTGGTGGTTGTGTTCGTTCAGGTTGCAGTGCAGAGACACACAGTCGCTCTGGTAGAGCAGGTCCTGCAGAGTGTAGACGCGCTGGACACCCAGCGAGCGCTCCAGACCGTCCTGCAGGTAGGGGTCATAGAAGATGACATTGAATCCGAAAACCTTGGCCCGCACCGCCACAGCCTGGCCCGAACGACCTGAAGAAGCGCACACACACAGAAGGAGATCAAACACAATGAGCAGCTTGTGTCACAAACTGTTAAGACAGTTCAGATGACCTCCATCCCATATTCAGTGCCGTGAACGACGCTCACGTAAGAACACCGCCGGGTGACAAGTCAGCATGGACAGAATATGGAACTTGGGAAAGATGAATCACATTTTAATAAAGTTGATCAAACAAGTGTGTTCAGTCAAGATTAAAAAGTATTTAATCTTTCTGGGGACTGCAGATAAAAAGTACGCTCCTTCCTGATCAGTTGAGTGTTTTTGAGGCAATTAATGTGGAGATATAATCTATGCTTGTGCACAGTCCGGCACCAAGTCACAAACCACTTTTAGAGAACTGCTGATCTAGTAGAGGGACTTAAATTGACTGGGAAGGCAGAAACAACTTCAGTATATTTTTCAACTAGAATTACAGGAAAGCTAAAAAGCTGTAACCACATCCTTCATACTGCTGAAGAAAAGGCAGTTTAACATCCTAAAAAGTCTCACAGCCATTTCTTGTACAGGCAGTGAACCTTCGCTCTGTTGCTGCAGATACCTGCTCTTGATCAACAGCTGCAGCTGAGAGAGAAAATGATGGAGAATCGGATGTTTATGCTCATGAAAAGGAAAAAAAAAAAAATCGATAAGGTCCTTCACACTCTCAAGGTCTTTTCTTTGTGATGGAGCATTATGTTCTGCTATTAGGCTCCTTAGCCAAGGAGAATTGTTCTCTTTTTTCCTCTCGTTCAATCCCAGCCAATAAGAGGCAGCAGTATAAAGACAACAGCCTTGTAATATTTAAGCAGTCACTCAGGCCAATTCTTTTTCATGTGATGGATTACAGCTGGTTATTTTCACTGCCAATTGGTAAGGTAGTTTTCGCAGTAAATATCAAGCCCCCCTGAAGTGATCAATCTTTTTTTGGTGCGTCTTCAGCCATCTACTTCTGCTTCAGTTACTTTATTTTCCACATTTCCCAGAATTTTTTTTATGCCACACACAAGCACGAACTTGTTACATTTAGCTGAAAGAGCAATACCGATGACAGCAGCAACAGGGGAATGAGTTTTTTCAGTCAGTTTGAAACACCCCAGGTGGTCTTGTGGCTGCGGTACAATCTGATTTACTAAGGGGTGGGGGGGCATTTTCTGTCTGTATGATTGTTGGAAAATTGGAGCAAAGTGGTGGATTTAGAGAGAAATGGTACTGTATATCTGATTTTTAGGTATCAAATCTGTTCACAGTGGATGTTTGTGCATCTAAAAATATCTCATTCCCAATTCTGTTGTGTTGTAGCTGCACTAGAACATATTACACTTTTAGTGCTTTATGTTCAAAGGGGGTGTACTCTTCTATGCTGTATACTGTCATTATGTGTTCCTCACCTGAGAACATTCACATAAATAGTCATTTCATCCGTGGTAATGTAAAAATATTGATTATTGCAGCTTTAACTAGTTTTCACCACAAGCTGGTATCATCCTTCAAGCTGACAAATAACAAAGGCTTTTCCTAAGTGACGCTATTCCCATAATCCCAAATCAATTTAACCTCTCAGAACAGGTTTCTTGTCAAGTTTTCTATGACACTGTTCTCTTATAGGGTCAGAGTCTGATCATGGCCCAGCTTTACTTGAATTTATCAAATGGTGCGACAACAATTTTCTGGACCTAAATGTATAAAAAAAACAAAGGAAATAATTATTGACTTGTGACACAACAGCGAACATAAAACTAGTGTTATACACAGTGAGGACGTCCCAATTGTGTAGTCTATATCTGGGCACTGTGTTTGACTGTCAGCTGAAGTTAGACATTAACACTGAGTCTATTGTCAGATGAGGACAACAGAGAATCCACTTATTGAGGAAACTGGACTCTTTTAATGTCAGCGAGAGAATTTTAAACAACTGTTATTGTTCATTTATTGAAAGTCTTCTAACATTTTCATGCATCTGCTGGTTTAAAGGATTCTACATTAAAGAACAGCTCGCATAGCATTGTTAAGATCTGCTCTAAGATTACTGGAGTTAACTTGTGTCCTCCAAATACTAATGTAGCAGGATGTTGTTTGATTCCTGTTTGATCGTGGACAGGGTAAGCTGCAAATGAATTGCCCTCTTGGGATCAATAAAGCTATCTGAATCTGATCCAATCAAGGAAAAGGTTAACAAGAAAACAAGTGGATGTCAATACTTTCTTACTCATGTGTCATCACTTACACAGGAGAGGCCTTCAGTTCAATCTGATTTCTGAAGCTAAGAGTCATTGACAAAACCAATCTAGGGAGCATTAACTAAATCAGTACTAACATATCTGAAATAAGAAAAAAAACAACAAATGAATTCAGATTTGAACAGTACAGAGTGGCTGATGTTTGAAGGGCTCCTATGTCTGTTGTTGTCCCACAGCCACAGGTTTTTTCAGTATGTGTGTTTGCAGCCAGCAGAGTTGTGCAGCTGTATGGGAGTATGTGCTGGGTCCTACAAACAAACACCAGGAGGCCTTCGCTCTCCCCAGCCTCCCGCTGGCAACGGACATCGTTTTGGAAACGGCCTGAGCCAGAAGGACCAGGAGAGGAGGCTGGAATTGGGAGCACTGGGCAAGGAGGGAGATTAGTGGGGGCATTCTCTAAACTAGGACCTGCTGTTTGGGCACAGCTGTTTGGGACCTGGGGGAGGGGGGTATGTGTATGTGTGTGTGTGTGCTGGGGGTAGGGGGAGTGTATGTGGACACAGAGATAAGGTAACACTCTGGAAAGGTTTGTGAGAAGACAGGGCATCTGTCAGCTCAGTGATGCTAAGAATGACGCACAAACACACACAATCAGCAGTGAAACAGGTGCAGAGAGGCACACACACACACACACACACACACAGACACACACAGGCAGTCTACCATGAGGGGCCTGATTATGGCAGGGCAAGATGTTGAGGGACCACAGTGACAGAGAAGAGGAGTCAAAAACAGGAGAAGAGAAAATAATGGAGATATAATGGTGAGCATTACAGCAATGGGATGAGAGAACAGTGTGGCAGAGAAAAGGAAGTCATCCCAGAGGGGGATGAAACAGACAACCTTGAGATAATCTGTGTGTCGGGCAGAGGGAGAAAAATAACGTTATCAGGGCAGGAAAACAGAAGGCACACTGAGCGGTCAGAGGATATGAAAACACACAAGGCAGGGCACGGAAACTGGGCAAAACAGAAATAAGAGAAAGAGTCAGAAAGCTGGAAACCGAAAACAAGAAAAAAAAAAGTGATTATCTGCTACTCACCGAAGCCGATGAGACCCAGGGTTTCGCCACGAATGCGGGCGGCGCCAGAAGCCACCTCACGAATCTGCTCCACGCTCTGGACCCGCGTGCCCTCCCGGAGAGCCTGGTAGAGCCAAGTGTTTCGCCGGTAAAGGTTGAGGATGTGGCACAGGGTGGAGTCTGCAGTCTCCTCCACAGCTGCCGAGGGAATGTTGCACACTGCGATTCCTAAAGAAAGAGTTAATCCGGCTCAGTGATAGAAATGATTCCAAATACAGTGTTTATCAAATATGCCCTTGTTCTCCTGTTTAAATTACTAAATCATTAGTTAAATATATCGGGCTGCAGGCTGTGGTCATTTGGGGTATTCGTATTTGAGCTTGCATAAAATCAGTAAGTTGGAAAACAGAATTTGTAAAATAACAAGATCTGATCGTATTAACATAACTTAATCCCAATAAAAGTCAACATACTATCAATTACACCGAATTATTGCCGAGCCACATTATATCTAAACTTTCATGCACATGCATAACAAAGCAAGTTTGACACTTCCTGTGTCAACTGTCAAGATCTCATCCAGCTGCATACTTTGTAGCTTTCAGGAAATTCAAACCCTATGACCTTGTGATATTACCTTGCATATCCTCCAACAACACAAAAGGCTTTTTCCCCTCTAAGTAGTTCTGCCTGCCCTCACTCTCCTCTAATGTCCTCATCCCACTCTGTATCTCAGAGTAACAGCAGAGCCGTCTCTGGACAGCAAAAAATAGCCAGAGCCTGTTCAATCAATGCTCTCTTTTCTTCTCCCTGAGAACAGCCGTCATATCAGCGCCGCCTTCTCCAGGCATGATAGCTTTTGACTCCTGTGTTGCGAGGCAGAGCGCCTTCAGTGAGTGGGTGGCAGTTAGACACAGTATCTCATATTGGCAGGGAAATGGCAGCTTTGTCAACTGTAAAGGGTGTCTAAGCCACCAGCCTGCTGATATTAGCCTGGGTGGTGGTTCACAGAGAAGACCGAACTCTCCTCTCTCTGTCTTTCCCCGTCTGGTTTAACGCTGTGTCTCTCAGTGGGATGTCCACCATTGATCTGACTCTTTAATTCACCCTTTGATACCTGGCTGAAAATCCATACAGTGAGAAAGAGAACAGTAAACATGCTGTCCCTAGATAATCACGGTCATGTGTGTGAGTTTATTTTCACCTCTAAAGGCAACGCCTCTTTCTGCCAATCAGTGCATTTTTCAGTATAGCAGTGGCGTGATGACTCACTCTCTCAAAACTGACCTAAACTGGGCTCCAAGGGATCCTGTGTGATTAACGAACAAACAAATGATCAAACGAGCAAATATGCAGACACCGATCTACACTGCTCACCATGAATAAATCAGTACTACATGCGGTGAGGTGAACTTCAAAGCAAGTCTTCGAGGATCTTGCTCAGACATGACAAAAATTCTCTGAATATAAAGACCATTAAACAGAACGGAACAGATAAATGTACATAAACACAGTAATAAACTATTTCATCCTATGTCACTGGCATTTCTACTCTATATTCTGTAATGGCGCCGGATTTAAAGCTAGTTGTGTTTTAGCAGGCCTGAGAGTCCGTACCCAGTTCTCCAGCAGCCTTGATGTCGATGTTGTCATAGCCGCTGCCGATGCGGATGATGATGCGGAGCGCTTTGAACTTTTCCAGGTCCTCCCTGGTCAGGGTGATGGTGTGGTACATCATGGCCCCCACTGCCTCATTGAGCACCTGCAGACACATGCACCAACAACATTTAGGGTGATAACTGTATGGATGAAGAGAAAGCGTTCTTTAGCAGTGACAGCATTTCATTCATTTCTTTTTCTTTCATTTATTTTTTCCATCATTTGTCTTTTGCTGTTAGTAATTTTGTCCATTCAGTGATGCAGACCATGCAAAGATGGCTACTAGCCCATCTCAGTTCATAAGGACCCAAAGAATCGCATCCCTTCTGCAGGAGCCATGAAAGTCACATGGCTCGGACACTGATCTACAGACGTCACATGGTCACCAGCAGCACTGAAACACTGTCCTTTTACAGACGTATGCTGGAAGTGGAAGCAAGTCATTATATTGTCTCAGCGGGCCTGCACTTCTGCACAATCATCACAACTGCACTCAGACTCCCGGGGGTGTTTATGGACAATGGATCTGAGCAATTGACTGGACAGAGGGTCAGAGCAGCCACTGACCGGAGGCTGAACCCTAACATATGATATAACATGTTGTGGGTCAAAGAAATACTGAGTTGACCCTCATCTGGCATTAAAATATGTCAGCAACTAAGACACATAACACAAAGAGCAAAAAAGATTTTTTAGGCCAGATCAAACTCACGAATCACCAGCACTGGCACTTCAGTTCAGTTCTACTGTCCTATTGCTACTGTGCCTCTTCTCTTACACATCCTTCTCACATCAGTTCAGTTCTACTGTCCTATTGCTACCGTGCCTCTTCTCTTATACATCCTTCTCACATTTTATTTCTTGAAAACACTTTTGAGTTATTTCTAAGTGGGTGTCATATATGATGTCCATATATTGCAAAGGCCTAGTAGATAAACTTTGTGAATAATTTTGACTGAACTTGACAAAAACCACAGAGATGTGTTGTGGGTAAAAGTTAAAATACCAAGTGTTTCTCCAAACCAAATATGTAAAATTGCTTTACCCCCCCACAGTGAAATGTACCAAGTGAAATCAAACCCATAGCCTAACAATCTACTTAAAAACGTAACACGTTTTTGAAATCTCCTGCTAAAAACACCCCCTTCCTAGGGCTTAAAATCACAGAAAATAATAGAGTCAAACATTCAGCTCAGGTTGAAAAAAGTCTGAACACAATCAGCTCAGAGAGCCGTCGCTGTGAGGAACTGCTCCTCTGCCACTTGACATGCACAAGGTGACCTGGCCTGTAATTTGTTTCTGATGTGGATCTAAACTATTACCCCTGAGTATTAACACCTAAGTAACAGCTCTGCATTCACCTCCAGCCAAACTGAATTAGCTTTCCTCTGATTAGTACATTAGTTATGAATTTACATCATGTTCCTATTAGAGCCTTGTCCAGACCAGGACTTCCAGATACTAGGTGAAGGTTAAAACATTCCTTACATGCATATACATCCAGCCAAAATGTACACGCAGTTTTCTCCCTCTGGACTGAGCCTGAAGCTCTGGTGCCGTTTTTGAGCAGGATGAGTCTTTTAACAAGAGCAACGAAGCTTTATTTGAGGGAAAAATCGACTTTGAATGTAATTTATTTTAATGGAAACTCTGACCTAATCTATATCCTCTTTTCCACTGTAACTCAAACCTTGCTTTTAACATCTACCGCTGCTGCTGATGTCTTCTGACATGGCAGTGAGGCCCCCTCATTTGGCCTGGGTGAGCAGTTTTTTTTTTCTGTGCTGCACATTGATGATACACATTCTGTGTAGTTTGTGTGTGTTTGCCTCTGTAACTTACTGGGCAGGGATTTTATGGCTATGAAGTCATCCTACTACTGAGCAGTGAGGATGACAGCTGCTTGTGACACAGATCAAACTTGCTCCACCTGGCAGGGAAGATGTGCTGTTTAAAAACAGCTTTTTGGTGCTATTTAGCATATACTGCTTCTTTAGGAGTGACACAGCCATCACACAACAGTATGCAATATAAAGAGGAAATACGATCCTTCATAAAGCATTGCATTGAACGCTGAGCACCACAGACGAGGTTCCCGTCCAGACTGTCCAACACAAGGAAGGACAGTGCTGACCATGAAAGAACCCCAACAAGGGAACAGCACCATCCAACTACTGACCAATAACCTGCCTCTCCACAACATGGAAGGTCCTATCAGGCATCACAACTGCCCAGCACACCCCTCACAATGCACGAAGGCCTCCACTCGAAGTCCAACACCCAGAGACTGTACGCCAGCTGCAAAGAGGGTAGATGAGGCCTGGTGAGTGTCAAGGCCACTGTCCTAGATGAAACCCAGCGCATCCAGAAGTACATAAGCAAGATGGCGCCCAGAGACGAGCTGCTGAGACCACACCAGGCTGACCCCAGGTGCCTCAGAGGCAGTCTAACACATAGTGGCAGGAACAGCATACACTGAACAGCACAACCAGGTGGCTGGCATTGTGTTTTTATCAAATCACTTTCCTTTATTCAAACCACTTTTTTTTTATTTTCTTGTTGCCTTACAAAGCATTTTGACAGCCTCTGTACCAGAGACAGATTCCTTGTGAGTTTAAACATACTTGGCTGATTCTGATTCTATGAAGCAACAGAAAACTAACTGGAATTTTTGATAGACAAATAAAAGTCACCTATAAAGCAAACATCATCAGCTTCCCAGATTTGATGCTCTTTCCAGTTCTATCAGAGAAAACTGAATATCTTTCAGTTTTGGTTATTTTGTTGGCATATAGACTGAACAAGTCATTTAAGCTTATGTGATCGGTTGCAGAGTCAGATTGGAATAGCGTGACAGGCCGGTGTTGACTCTATGCCATATGGGCTGTGATCCCACTTTTACAAGTCACATGTGACTATGAGGCACGGCGACTGCAAGAAAGACAAGAAATCATCGACCTTGGATAATGATGTTGGAGCGCAGGTGCAGTGTGCAGGATTTGGTCTCGATGAAGTGCTGTTGTAATTCGATCTTGATCAGTATTTGTTTGTGTGTTTCATCGTGCCCCTGTCACCCAAGAAATAGGGGATTACCGGGTGGAAGACCTGACATAACCTGAGGCCACATTCACACTGCACCCCTGACCAACCTTTTCTATGAGTTTCTGTATTGCCAGGTGTGAAATAAGGAGAGTGTCTCAGCTGGTGTGTGCCCTGACAACATCATACTGAAACTCCAAGAATTATCTGTGCTGCGTCTCGGCATCCACGCCACAGAAGGAAGAGATTGGACATTTTCAATCTACAATGCCCCTCTGGGTATCTAGACTACAAGTTATTACTGTGAACTGCTGAATATGCTGGTGAGGTGAACATTACAATCATGTTTTTCCTGATATGGCAGTGTTAAAATAAACAAAAAGCTACTCGCTTCGCTCTCTCATCGCCCAAGGTCTTTGATTGAATTGATCTCTATGCAAATGCTTTGTTTTTAATATGTCCCATTTTCATAAAAACAGCAAGAAGAAAGATGTAGCGGCTCTCGTTGCGTCTGCAGATGGAGAGATAGCACTTCAGTGATACTCATCTCCATGGCCATATATTGTTTTGCAGCCACGGCGCTGCATAAAAAGCAATAAAGAGCCTCTACAAGCCAATGTAATTATACTGCATCCCTGCCATACAACACTTTCTATTGGAACAATGGCACCAATATAAGTACCACGCTCTCTGCAACAAACTGACACTAAATCATAATGAAGCCACTATATTTTAACTGGCAGCTGCATATGGGGCCAATATAACACACTTCCCATATCGCACTGTGATGGGAAAAGAAAGACAGACATGAGTTAGTGGCAGGCTCCATCACTCCAACAACTTTCGCCTGCTGTGACATGGTGCAGTGCCTGAGTGACGTGAACTTCTACCTTCTCATGGATCTCCTGCGTGGACTGGGCATCACAGAAGGCAACTGTTGCCAAGTCTTTCAGGATGGGCATCTCCACGGTGCAGTCGCGCCCGTCCAGCAGCGCCACCAGAGGGCGCGGATGCATTGGCCCATTCATGATTTGGGGCCGAATACCTGTAGACAGAAGAAGAAGGGAAAGAAGAATATTTTAGGTACAGGAGAATATTTTTTCCTGTCACTTTTGCAGAAAAACTGCCTGTAATCTTAAGCACCTTGTAGCTTTAAAGTGTCAGCTCACCCCAATTACAAAGAGACCTAACATATTTTACCACATACCCCAAGTTGAGTCTAACCATGCAGATAGCGTTGGTTTTATTTAGGGCTGTCCTGATAGGCATTTCGGGGCTTTGGTAGTAATAAGTGCTGAATATTCAAATAGTTGCTGGGGGTTGATCGCCAACGTCTCCGTTCTCGGCTGAGATCACACTGCAACGTGTGTTTCTACAGTACAGCCCTTTCCAGACGTGAGATACTTAACACTGCTACTTCATCAGTCTGTTAAAACGACGCCTCTCTGCCATTTAGACCCATGACAATGAACAAGATGAGAGCACTCGTTCAGCTGGCTGCACAAGACTCGTTTTGTTGACAACTCAGGTTTATTTGGAGATGTGATCTAACGTTCACCACTGGACTCAGGCTGCACTGACATGTCCTATTTGTCTCACATATTCGAATATTAACATTAAAACCGATGACTTACCCAATGAACAAATATCTGAATAGTCAGATAATTGGGACACTGCTGTTGAGTTTGTCAAATGTGAAAGTTTCAAATTAACAAAATAAACATATACAATGAAAATTATACATAAGTTGTACCATAAGAAATACTCATAAAAGTACAAAATTCAGGTGAAATTATTAGACAATTGGCAAATGTTGCTCTCCTGGCAGTGTGAGTCAATTCATCACGGTTTTCTTGATAAACAAAACTCTCAGATGATAATGATCTGCCATGTATGTATTAGGAAACAGAAGGAAGCAGAAGGATTCTCCAAACTAACAAGCACTGTTCAATAAATCAACGTGTCTACTCAGGACTGGTTGAGATCACAGTCTGTTACAGGAATATTCTCTGTCTCATGGCTCCTAAACACTTACAGACACATACAGAAACCCTGTGCATAAATTATATTACAGTATATACTGTAAGCAGGTACACACTATCACACTAAGAGCAATATATTCTCTTGTATGTATATCCAGCAACTGCACAGTAAGACACACACACTGGCTGTTCTCATTTCTCAGCTCAAAGGAGAAGATTCTACATTTGCTTCGCTGTGAGTGGAACCAGCAGCTGTGGAATAGAAGAAGAAGAAAAAAGATAACCTATGAGCTACACCTTTAGAAATTAGTTCCACTGCTGCGTGGCCTTAAAAGAGCCATGTATCATGGAAATGGAGGGCGTGGAGAAAACACCACAAGCCTGGAACAAGCCAACACTCAACGCACATCTGCACTTTAGTGCACTTGACAAAGTGCGTGCCACAGTTCTGGTTCAGCTCTTTCGCCTTCCCCAGCGCCACTTTTCTCGCTTCAAGTGAAGGGAGCTGAGAAGAGCCGAGCTCCCCAGTGGGCCGACCTTCTCACACATCCCACTTAAGAAGACGTGTCGCGCTGAGAAGACAGACAATTACCAGCCTTGCTTCATACAATGTTAACAAGTGAGGAGCATCAATATTCATGCGTAGTGTAGATCAAAAGCCAGATCATGGATGGATGGACCTGAGGAGCCACTGAGTATCAGTGCCCTAGCGTTGCACCAGTCCCAATCTTCACTCTTACATCAGCAGCTCTGGATCTGTCCAATCAAACAAAACAGACCAAAGTTCCCACAAGAGCACAAACCCCTGTGAATGTTTCTGTGCGATTACATGACATCACCTTGCTGCTAAGATCTGTATCGGGATGCTTAAGCCTGACCCCACCCTGTACGTGTGTGTGTGTGGGTGTAAATGTTTTCATATGTGTGCTCCTAAAATTATCCCAAAGATTACCACAGTGACGTCAGAGTCCAGGGTCGAGTGGAAGGGAAAAGGAGAGGAGATGTGGAGGAGGGCTCATTAGAAACATGTTCTGTGGGATTGCAGCAGCAGAGGAGGCTGATTAAGGCAGATAAAGGTGAGATTAGGAAATGAGAAAGTTGCATGTGGCCTTTGCACAAACAAGGCTGAAATGCACAGCGGGAAAACAAACAAGTGGAGGGAGAGAAACAGTGAGACAGAGACGAGTGAAATTAAAATGTAAAATGAGTATGCATAAAAACAGACTAAACACTGCCTGTTAGCCTAAACAGCTCCCAGGAGGCATATCAGAGAAGAAGAGGAGGATAAAAGGAGGGAGAGGGCACATAAACGACAGGAGAGACGGCAAGAAAGCCCAGCTGACAGAAAGCGAGCAGTCCAGCAGTGCAGCCTCTCAGGGCAAGGGGAGGATCGGAGCGGAGGTGTCGTCTCCCTGCGCCTGTTGTCATGGTGATCACTTAACAGGCTTTGGCTGCCAGTTTTAATGCACTTTATTTTTGGCACCGCTGGCATCTGTGCTGAGAGTTGAGGTCGGAGGCGCAAACGCCCATATCCTCCTCACACTCTGTGTGCAAAGGGCAGAGATTTCTTTTTTCACTCCTGACAGACAGACAGACAGACAGACAGAAAGCCACCTCCTCCCTCGTCCTCACCCACAGCCCATCACAAATCACTGCTTCCATGCCTACTTATCACACTCCTTGTTCAAGACGGCTGACGAGGCGGCAACAAAGGTGAGGTATGGCAACCTGGCTGTCTGTGCCACATCTGCAGCTGACAGCTCGTTGAATATTAATGGAAGCATCCAGTAAGCACTGGCAGGCAAGAATCAAAACCATTATACCATAGTGGTGAGGGTGGTGGAGAGTGCGCTCACGTGTTTAGTGCTTGGCCGCGCCAGACCCAGTGCGCACGTACATACGATAATTATCAGATCAATTCAGCGACTGAAAATTAAACAACATTTCTGATAAATGATTAACTGTAATCATATATTGTTCTAGCTTCTCAGTTATGGGGATTATGTGTTTGTCTCCGTTTTATATATCTGTAAAATGTATCTTTGGGGTTTGGATCAAACAAAGAATTTTAAAGATATCACAATGAGCTAATTAACTGTATAAAGAAATGCAATGATTAATTAACTTAAAATCTACCAGCTTGGTATGTGACACTTGACACAGTGCAGCTCAGGATTTTAAAAGGTATAAAGCTACACGTAATCATTTTTGGGGGGGCCAGAAAAATACCTAAACTTCCAAGCAGATAGACAGTGATGAAGGAAAGTTCATGGAGAGGAATTGTGTTTGTGATCACCTGATCAGTATTCAATAATCCAACATTCACTCCTTTTGTTTTTTAATCCTGACGGGGAAAAAAACAGTTAGAGACTACAAACTATAGTGGGATTTATCAGTGTTTATTTACCCAGTCTCAATCGCTAATGTGCAGCAAAACCAAAAGAACACACTAGAAGAGGCTGAAAAGCTCCACCGGTGAGGCTGCACGGTTGATCGATTTCAGCACTGCAAAGGAACCCCGTTCACATCACGCACACGTCGTTTGATTCAAGAGTAAAATCAAAAATACTGATTAAAGAACTGCAGGTTTACTGCACATTGCAAGGCTTTCCAGAAAAGAGCCTGCACCCGTCTCCCTGCTTCACCTAACCGGCAGCCACAGACAGCAGTGGGCGTGTAGGTGAGAGAAGTTGTGGGTGAAGTATTAGGGAGAGGAGCTGCCTCAAACCTTCAGGCATAAGTTAGACCGGCCGAACTCCATGAGTCATCCACCGGCTTTCTCTTGGTCTCTGACCTTTCAGTCAGTTACCCTTTCAATCTCGCTCTCACGCCTCTTCCTCTGCTACATTTGCCCTATCGTCTGCAGTGGTGTACTTTCCCAGATCTCTCCCTGTATGACAGCATCATCTGACAGCTCCTCTTTTCTACCAATCACTAGCTCCGTGTCCATCGTCTTCTCCTTCCTTTCTCTCTCTTTTCTTCCCCACCTCTACTATAACTCCTCAGCTGTCTCTTAGTAATGACTGCTCCTCCCTCCTCTGTCATCCTTTCACCTCAGCTGTCATTCTTTCTCTCCCTTTTCTATCATTTCCTTTCCTTCCCTATTGCTCTGTCTTTCTCGGGGCCGGAGTGTGTATTTGTATGTGTGTGTCCTCCTGTGTGACAGATTGATTCTCACTCTGCTGATTTTGATGGAGAGGAGATGGTATTTTCACACAGGGGAAGCAGGGAGGTGACAGGCAACACTCCCCCTGGGGTAAACTGACAGCACGTACATCAAGCCAGTCTCATCCGGAGCCACTGGGTTTGTCAGCTGCACAATACCACCACACCCGGTTCTGATAAGTGATACATTCAGAGACACACATCTCAGCACCTTTCCCGTCTGTGGTGACACATGACAGCATGCCTGTGGTTTGTACATCTACAATAGTCAGTAACAGTGCATACAATTATCTACAGCGCTAGCAATTTAAAGCCGTGATATTATAGTAACCTTGCATTAATACTGCAACCCAATGACACTGTGGTGTTTTCAATGGCTCCTCAAAACTGTCAGGTTTATTAGACTTTGTACAGACCTTTACTGAAGAGATTACTTAGAGCAGGAGTGATGTTCTTTAAGCTTTGGCTCACAACTGGTCAAAAGTGAAAGTTTATTTAGGCATTTGTGTTACTTAAATAACTACATTCCAATATGAAGTTGGTCTGAACTATGCTTTTTTTTTTAATCTACAAATTGTGGGTGGAATAAGTGAAGATCACTTCCAACCTAGGTCATCTTCTTACAGAGTTCACTGTGCAAATACTTTTTTGACCTGCAAATCATAAACTCACTGCTTACCAAGATCTACCATTTATTTATTTTGCACCATAAAGAAATAAGCAGATTGGTCAAAATGACGATTAACAGTTCTTCTGAATTTTACCTGTTGCTCCAATTTTGTTTAAATTTCATGTCAGATTTCTTTCTTTTAACATTGTTATTCTTACTGAGTTCTTCCCACAAAACACAGAAATGATAGTTTTCACATCCACTGAGCCAAACACAACTCTCAGCTCTCTGGTTTTAACAGAGCTGTAGCAACTCGTTCAGAGGCAACATGCAGAAATAATACGAGGTGCTCCGCTGCTCTGGCATGTTCTCCGCAGGCCCCTGCGCTGCTGCCTGGTCTAAAGCAGCCGCCGTCTGCCTTGACTACAAACAGCAGGAGACTCAACCTGAGCCATGAATCGAGCAGAGATGAGAGGAGGACATATATTGACATACAGCGTATCAAATGCCAACAGATGTGGACATCAAGGGCAGGGGGCTGTGGAGAGTCGGGGGTAATGTCAGAACTGCAGGGGTGCACTTAATTTCGCTCCATTAATTAATCCCCCTTATTTCCTCTGCGTTCTCACCTATTCTGCCTCTTGCTAAACTGTTGCCAGGCTGTGAACATGTTTGTGTGTGTGTGATGATTTGGGACGAGTGCATGTTCACTGTGAGAGGCAGCTGTTGTTGTTGGTTTACCTGCCAAACTTATAAATGCATGCACACACACCTTGCTGGGTCTCATCTGTGAGCTGATACCGTACACAGTCAGATGTAGCTGCAACTGACGATATTCTTCATTGGTAACTAATTTATGACATTTTCTGCTAATTAATGAATTGAGAGATCTATGAATGTCAAACAAAGTGACGCACCCTATAACAAATCTAAGTAACTGGAGCTCTAAGTGATTTTTACCTATTTCATCTGACCAATAATTCAAATCTATTCGATTTACTGGAATAAGAGAGAAATCATTTTCTACTGACTGATCAAGCAATTTTTTTTCCAGTACTTGTCAGATCAACTTTTGTTAATCAGCCACATCCCGGTGACTGTAGCTCACGACAAAACACCTCCGCCTCCTCAACTCATTATAGTTTAACACTACAAACATACAGTAAAGTATGACCCTGAATTGTACTTCTGGCATCACTACTGGCGGATACTGTTACAAAAAGATTTCCACGTCCCTGCTAAAAGGTGGTGAGCACAGTTAGGAGTGTAAACACAAAACATTTCTCTCAATTACAACGCATAAGAGTTGTCAAAAATGAGAAATGGATCACTAAGAAAATGATTTTGGATGCCCAGGTCTCCGGTGAAAGGGCTTAAACCCACTTGATGTATGAGAAAAGCATTGATGAGATGAGGCTGTTTCGCTTTTTGCTCAATCTCATTCAGTTATCAGTATTTTAATTCTAATCATTCCTGGAGACAAACACTTGTGGAAGCTGAACGCGGCCTGGGCTGGAGGTTGCAATTCCTGAGCCAACAACACTTAGTCAGAGTCTGGCAGCAGCATGTAGCAGCACGGTGCACTGGGAGATGAGGCCAGAGTTTCCATTATGTGGCGAAGGGAGCTGGATGTCTTCTCCGACTCCTGGCCTCTGCTGCTGGTGTTATGTTGCTGCCATGAGGAAAAGAGGGAGCAGAAGACACTGTGGTCAGAGAGGGAAAAGTAGAAAATGGGGAGAAGAGGAAACGGCAGCAGAAGTCACTTTAGTGAGACCAGACAAGCCCTTCAAAATATTATCATCATCTGCTGCCACCGGTTACCTAGCAACCTCAAGTTGCTGTTTGCAGGTGACTCTTGACTGCAAGGCAGGGAGGGGGGGCTGCCGCCGCCGCCACTGACTGCAACAGTTAGGATCCTTTACTGTGCCGCCCTGAGCAGCACTGTGCCGAAGCATGACCCACATTCCCTCCCTGGGTAACACAGGAGGAGGCTGTGTGTGGGAGGAGGAGTCCAAGTGAGGTTATGATATAGATCTGTGGCTCAGACAGTACATGTAGGATTTGGTCCTCGTAGCGGTTCCAGGTTGGCAGACTAACCGAATTCACTACCAAATGACATTGTTACCACTTTTTATTAGCAAAGACAAATCTACAAAACATTAAAGCGCCCCAGCTTGTCATAATAAACTGTCACTGAATGCTGATTTTTGCCATTTGAAATGGCAAACATCACTGGCAGCAGATTAAATCAGCTGCAGCTAATTAATGATAATTCTCCAAGTAACCTGCCCAAAGGGGCAAACTGAGACTTGGCTGATGTCTGCTTAATGTGCTCTGTGCAATTTGGCATCTGTCCTCAGCCAAAGATAATTTGTAAAAGAAAGGAAAAACAAAAACCCTCCACTCTGCACTTGCCAGTAAACTGTATGCTTGTGCTGGTCAGGAGGACCTACAGAGTGGTGAGGCTTTCCTCTAGTCAAACAGTCGCCAAACATGCTACTGCTTCAGTTTTTACTTCCCGGTTAAAATTTTTATGCTTTGTTATCAATAATTTAAGCTTATCAATAATAGCTATGAATTGAGACTTGGAGTATTCAGAGAAAGTAGCTCCAAAAAACAAACAAACCAAAAAACAAATATGGTGTGCCAAAGTAAGTAAGCCAGACCAACTGTAGTTTCTTACAACACAAAACATTCATATTCAATAAAAAGCCTTCGTGCACTACGAGTGTTAATGTGGAGGTACAAGTTGCAAATGCAAAGTGAGATCTGCATGAAAATATGGGCGCAACACTTGCATGGATGTGGCAACAAGTGAACAGGAGCCCACACACAACCTTGGCAGGCAGCCAGGAGCTTGACTGTGGTGTAACAGAGAAGTATAACGCACAGATGTGCCGTTGGGTCAAACAACACTTTGTTTTGCTTCGTTTTTCATATGGCACTCAGCCAGAGTCTGTACTTCTGCTTTACGGAGGCTGCATTACTCATTTACCATTTTCCTCCCTCATACACACACACACACACACACACACAGATCCCACCATAAACACACACCCTTCATCTGCCTGTGACAGTGCGAGGTCACTGTACGACTTGTAGTGGTTCGGGGTGGGTATAAGCACCCTTTGTTGGCAGCCTTCTCCCAGCCCCTCACTGCCTTCGCTTCCCCAAAAGTAGCACACAAAGGCCACTTGTCCTGCTCTGCCAGTGCCCCACCCCTGTCACCACACCAGTCCATCCCCTGCCAAGAAAATGAGCACACGCCTGTTTTAAATGGTACCCTCTGTGTGCACGGGCAGGCCGGGCCCGCACTCCACCATGGGACAAAAGCGGGTGTCAACAGCATCCATGGCACAACTACGATGGTACTCCCTTCCCCTCTCCTCCCCTCCCTCTCTCTTTTTCCCGCTCTTTTATTCTTCGGCGTTGCCCTGAGCTACGGAGTGCACTGAGAGCACAAGACCGCAGTGGAAGCAGAACACGAAGCCAAGTGCAGCAGCGCAGGACGGGCGAACCTCGAAACGACAACACCGTGGGACTACTCGCCCACCTTACCAACCACACACACACCCACATACACTCATCTTCTGCCCTCCTCTTATCCACACTCCCCCACCACCTACCTCCCTCCCACCTCACACATGCCAGACTTTATTAGACATCTAGAAAAGAAAACAGGAAACATGCTGCTTGCCTGGAAAATGTTGTCTCCACATTCTTCGGTTTAAAAACTATGCATCGCAAGATGACAGGGAAAAAAGCAAAAAATACAAAAAGGGAAGTGGAAGACCCTTCACAGTAATCCAAGGAGAGTACCCCCCCAGCTCTCTTCTTGTCCTCCTCCTCTCCTTTAACCCCCCCTCCCCCTCCCCCGGCGTTGCTCCTCTTGGTCTGGCTCTGTCAGCGAGGGGAAGGGGTTTCTGCGGCACAGGCTCTTACTTGTGCCCCTGGCTGCATCATCTTCAGTCCATGCCTTTGAGGGCTGGAAGAAAAGCACCATACACCCACGGTGTCCTTATGCGCGCGCACACACACACTGCGATGTGCAGGCTGGTGATCGGATGTTAGCAGGTTGGAAGAGGCAGGGGAGTCTTTTGTCCTTTTGTTTTTTTAATCTCCTAGGCAGAAAAGGCTGCGGTCGGGGAGTGCAATGGCTGAAAACTATGCCGCTTCCTCTGCTGTCAGCTGCGCAGCATCTATTCACTGTGCCTCTCTCTCTGTCTCTCTCTCTCTTTAACTCTTTTCTTTTGCCTTTGTCTTAGCTGATAATAAACCAGTAGGGGCAGAAAAGAAATCTCACAAAAAGAGATGTCCAAAAAAAAAGAGAAAAAGAAAAAGAAATCTACCTAAATCAAAAATGCCAGCTCAAACTGGCAGAGCCGAACACTGGGCTCGCACAATTTACTCCCTGGCTGCGTTCACTTCATAGGATCTGCACACATAACACACTGGAGCACAGTCCCTCCTCCCGCTTTCCTTCCTCCTCCTCCTTCTTCTTCTTCTCCTCTTTTTTATGTTTTATTTCTGATCTGGACTGCACAGTGTTTTAAGAACGACTCCCCCCCCCAATCTCTTTCTCTCTCTCTCTCTCTCACACATACACAAACACTCTTGCTTTCATTTATTCCCAGCCTCAGCCCCCCGGTTCCTGGTGGTTATTTGGTTTCCTCCTCTGCTTTTCCACTTTCATCTAGACCTCACCCCCCCGATCTCCCATTACCACACACAGAAATAAAAAAAAACAACAACAACAAAAAGCAGAACCTCACTACATCCTGCCATTTTGTGGGTTACACACCTCTCCCTCATTCTGAAAAGCCCCACCACCACCACCACCACACACACACACACACACACACACACACACACACAAACTTTCAACCAGAAGAACAATGCAACATTCAAACCACTCCAGCAATAACATTACAGCTGGAGAGATGGCTGTTTTTCACACCATCAGGAAAGTCATGAGCCGAGCGCGTTAAGTTCACAGTTTGGTCCCTGGAGGGGAGAGGCAGGGTGGGGAGCGAACTGACAGATCTGCTGAATGACTGCGAGGACAAGCAGCTGAAAACACCCTGTTTAGAATAACAATGTGACTGGAGCCTCCCTGCAACTCTGTAGCATGACCAGGGCACAGCGATGACCGTACACATGAATTCATACATACACACACATTTTGCTGACTGTGTGACAAGCGCGACCAATAAACAAAGAGCTCGGCACGGTCACACGCCAGAACTGATTATCACTGACAGTAAAGTGGAAAGGTGGAACAGCCCAAGCCACTCAGGCTCAGGGGGGTGGGTGGATGTATCCATCCCGGTGTGAAGCCACATTTTCTTTTTTCCTGCAGTATAATTGTGTGTATCCACTTAAAGTGCATGTTTTGTGTGTGTCTGTGTGTGTGTGTGTGTGTGTTAAGCTGACTCTCAGGCCTGTTGTTTCTCGGCCCATCAAGGGGAGACATGGCGTGTCAGCTGAGATGCTGTCTGTAGCAGTGACACATCTGAGGGAGTGTGACCATCAAAGGCAGCAGCCCACATTTCTCACCACTGACACGTCTCCCCCCCACACCCACACACACACACACATACAGTACAAACACTCCTGATGGAGTGTGGGGATACGGCTGCCCCTCTGATGTTTCCCTCTTCAATAACATTAGAGGAGGTGCAGGAGGGGGGCTGACTGACAGCAATATGTTAATACAGAACCAGGCAGATCACAGCCTCTCATAAGACAGAGCCATTCTGCAAGGTTGGGGATATTTTAAGAAGAAGGGGGGGGGGGGGCATATCAAAAAACACCAGAGAT